TAGCCTCTCTCCTGTATCTAGCTTTCGCTGTCCAGCTTGGTTCCGATAGTTTTCCCTGATTACGAGAAACCCCAAGTTGCATCTCCTCATATCAATTGCTGTTTGACTGATTCTCCCGGTCTTCCACATTGTCGGAACATTCCGTGTACCTATATTTATTGTTGCTCATTCAATGTAAACATTAAAACGGATCTTAGGAACATACATAATTATATTTGATGTAACAATACATGTGGTAATTTGTAACCAGTTGGATGAAAACACAATATTAATTCACAATGATTCAGTGGCTATTCTAATGTAGTGAAATGACTGAGGGTAGAAATGAATTTGTTGTGAAAACACGACATAGACATTATTTACGATTACTTTTCCCAGAATATTTTACTTCACTAAGCCTCATAAATATCAGACAACTACACATAACGTGTGACTGGTAATAATTACTATTTAGTTAATAGTTCAAATCCTTATGTACATTTTTAACCGAAGTAAAATCACAACGGGAAGATAACTGAATAACTCGTACTGGTTGCCTCAATGTTAGAATAAGTTTTTCAATAAGATTAATCCAACCAAGTAGCAGTACGGATCGAAATCTGTAGCAGAACCACTTCAACCTCATCGGCCAGCAACCTGAAATATTAACTTCTAACTTCGTATTCATTCTGTATCACGTAGGTGCTTAATCGTCTTAGGTACCATAAAGAAAAATTAGATTCACACCTATATCTTAATACACTTGCATTTGTGTACAAATTTATTTTTCATGGAATAATAATTGAATTTCAAATAAACGGTAATTTAAATGAACCCGCCACTGATTCGTCAATAACGCATTGTATATGACCAGTTGTATGATTAGAAATGTCATAATCAATAAAAATAACTGATTTACCGAACCTTACACTCGACTCTTCTCTAATGAAAAAAACAATCTCTAATTGTATTTGTAAACTAGTCAAATCAAATAGATTAGAATAATTTATTCTAATTGCATAATACAGACAAAAGAAGATGAACAGCATTAGTGTGCACTTTTTCAAGGTTCAAAATGTACGTCATATTGAATATACGTGTAAGTTGGTGCATACATTATTTCTAGATTAAAAACATTATTCTTTCATCTCCATGGTTGCATAATTTTAGTAGGCAACTGTTTTTGAATGATGCAAATGTAAATGGTTAATCAAATCAAAGTTTCAATTGTTCAACATACATTTGAAGCATTGATTAACGTATTAAACGGAAGTATTTGCATCAGACTTGAAGTGTTTTAAAGGTAGGCGATTTCTCAACTCGTTTCTTACAATTCTATATAGTAATTGTATCAATGTCCACTATCATTAGTCACCAGTTTTAAGATTTACTTTAAAGAATGCTATCGCACCATTTTGTTTACCACTAACTGTATATTCGAAGTTGAATCCACGAGTTGATTAAAGCTAGACCACTATGGAAACACTGGACGGCCGTTTCGTTCTAGTATGGGACTCCTCAGCAATGCTCATCCACGATCCCGCACGCGGGACTCGGACCCAGGACATTCGGTCTTGCGGGCGACCAATCGATTCATGAATTCAACTATTAAAAATTACTATAATATCCCCAAAACCCCATTCTGATAATATTCAAAGTTGTTAACAAAACGTATATTTTGTAGAATTCATTAGAGGGTCTGTACTGAACTATATATTTCACTTAAAAACACTGAAACTAAAAGGCGAGAATTGTTACTTTTACGTAAAAGAAGACGAACGAATAAAATTTCCACATATTTGGGTATCCGTGGCCCCCTACAAAGTTTGATCGGAGAGAAATAGCATCTCCGAACTAGATGGAAAAAAAACCGCGGAGTATATATATATATATATATATATATATATTGTGAGGCTGGCCCCAGGGTTAATTCAAGAAGCAATGAGAAGCTCAGAGCGAACTAAAGACATCCCGTTCAATCATCTGAAAGCATATTGCAGAATTCGGTCGCGTAGCTAAAAACCACTGTACACGGATTAGATGACTATAATGATGATTTCGTTTTTACTAGGAACTCTAAATACCTGGGAGTTTTGTACCATATTTAGTACTGTTTTGAATAACATTTCTTCTCACTCGTCTTCTGTCTTTTCACTTGCGACTCGGAGGGTTCTAGCGCTCTAGTGCTCAATTTGTACGCGGTATATCACGAATCTCAGCTCTGGATATAACAACTGACTACGGCGTCAGCTTATCAAAATATCATTTACTTTTGATCAAATAGTTTTGCTGGAGCGTCAAGAAATACTTTACGAGCTGTTCCAATTCGTATGCTATAAACTCTAATCCAGCAAATAAACTTAAATCGAATGAGCCTTACCGATGGTTAATTCAAATCCCGTGTCGACCATATCATTTGTTCTATCCACGAATTCCATTTGATGATTTTGCTGGTGTTACGTTCGAATCCTGGTTGAAGAAATATAAAGATGTATTCACGGTTCAACTAGAAACGCTTGATGATACTACAAATGTCAGGATACTACTACACAAAGTTGGCACAGCTGAACTTGAACGCTACATCAACTTCATTCTCCCCAAGAATCCCAGAGATCTTTCATTTGATAAAACGTTCGTAATTTTGTTGCAAATCTTTGATGAGCACTCATCTTTGTTTAAAATTCGTTACCAATGTCTGAAGTTAGCAAAATCTGGCGACGATGACTGGGTGCAACATGCTACCCTAGTAAATCGCGAGTTTGAGCGTTCTAAATTGTCAACAGTGACGGAAAACCACTTTAATTGTCTTGTGTTTGTATTCGATCTCCGATCTCCTGAAGATGCTGATATCAGAACCAGAATTTTGAGTAAAATTGAAGTGTCCGAGCATAAGGCTACAAGAAGTAACCACGGAGATTGGTAGAATTGAAACATGACACGTCTATGATTGAAAGTAATGGACGGCTGTCATACATTCACATCATAAGCGAAAAGAAAGATTCCGGCTCACAAAAATTATCGCGCACAGATAACCAGCCCTGATCTCCATGCTGGTCATATGTAATATGTAATCATCAAGGTTGATGTCCAACATGCCCGCCTGCAGCTCGACACTGCCCTGACACTACATTCATTAGCCGAAGAACCTGGATGCATATTGGAAAGCCATGTTACAAAGACACCACCACATGTTTACAAAAGGTTTGAAAAAGTGTGCAATAGCTAAAGCATTATCAATCCTCAGACCTGGAGCTTCTCCCGTTTGTCGACCTAAATGACCTGTGCATTATGCTGCGAAGATGAATCAAATGGATCAGTACTCCATTTTTCTCGATTCCCCTTTCGGATTGAGAGTAGTGCTGAAAGATACATGGATAAGTAGATTACCAATATAACTAAAACATACGGAATCACAATGGCCGTGTAATTAATGTCAACCGAATAAAATGTACTCTGTCGACAAGTGCTAACATTTTATAGCAATTTTAAGACGTAACTAACCAAATATAATGAATTTAAAACTAGCCATTTAATTGGACGAAAAAGAATGAAAAATATTGGAAAATGGGATGAAAAAACCTTTCTAAAGGGGTGAAAAAATATTAATTAAAAAATTACAAAAATGGCCGGTTGTTTAGTCATATTCTGGTTTGTAAAATAAACTAGGGAGAAAAATTAAATGTTAGCATTTTCCAATCTTTGATCTAAGTGGAATAACGTCCTCAAAACTAGCTTCCGTTGTTTATCATGGCTTCTTTGTTTCTCTGCTCGCATCAGTATACGGTTGTCAAACAAAAATATTGCTAGACGATTTGCATGAATCAAATACTACGTTTTCAATTAGATAAACGTTCCAAAATATAATAAAAAACTAATGATTGGTGTGATTTCGGAAATTCTGAACGAGGAGGATGATATACCACTGTGTCTAGAATATAAATCAGCCAAAATATTAAAATAGAAATATTAGGGTAAATGTTTTTTGTGAAGCTTTATATTTTCTCATTGTTGCTTATAATTACGGCATTTGACCGGTGGACAACGCGGTAGTGTAGTAAAAGCAGGAATGATAAGCATTGGTTTGGATCTCCAGAATGAACTTCGTTACTGGAAGACAGGTCACCCAGTTAACAAGTCTCAATTAGATTGAATAGTAATTTTACTGCTGGCCACTATGCAACTTTATCTTAGGATAAGTAAAGTGAAATATTTGTGTAAATCTTTTATTATTCATCCGAAAATTCGAGCTATTTAGATGCTTCAATAAAGCTGACTACTTATAATAATAAGCAGTCTGACTTGAAGCAAAAAAGGCAGTTTTTTACATAGCATTGATGTGTAACGATTTATCAGGCTTTTAATCAATACAAATCTCATTATTTAAAGATATATTAGTCAATTTCAAGCATATCGTTGCTGACAATTTCCTGGGCCAACAGACACTGTTACAGAACATAGAAATAACTAAACGAGGTAAAGATATTTATTACAATCCCAAAAATTCAAAGTGTGTTATGAGGCAAGAAAATATCAATAAATATCTATTGTTATTGTATAGACCAAAATACAGATTTGATCACGGAAGTTTCAAGCTTTTTTGTCCAGTTCAGTTTCAGAAATTGGTTTTAGTGTATTCACCAGATCGTATATTGACAGAACCAATCACATTATATAGCTGGATCCATGATATCATTGTACGCACAGTTTAGTAATGTTGAGAATAAGACTGTCATCACCAATAATTCAGATAGTTGCTGTTCTATATCGTGAAATGATTGAATTTCAAAATAAGAATATCTAAGTTCCGAATCAGTGGTCTAAAAGTAACACTTGTGTGCATGCTACTCAGGAATCTCACACTACCTACAAAACAGTTATCCAATCCTTTCTGCTTTTAATAATACCTTATGTTAATCTATGATGAATATCACATAATATGTGAACAACTACTTATATAATTGAATCTAAAATATTGACATTTGTCTATTTCGTTTTCTCATTTGATTTATTTTGTACCAAAGCTCCTAATCCACCTATCAACGTTACGTTTATTGAGACTGGATCAACACAGCTCCGTGTTGTATGGATGCCTCCTGAGGAGAATTTAGCTTTCAACATCAATTGTTACTTGGTATATATCCGTCCAACGTTTATTGTATTTAGCCATTTCCAAAAATTCAATATTTGTCATTCTAACGTGTGTGACATCAAATCGTTATTACCGGGAGTAAACTATACAGTTTATGTTGAATCGTTTGATTTAACATACGGACTTCGAAGTTTGCCTTCAAATTATATTACCGCTGTTACCTATCCAGATAGTAAGTTGTCATTTAGGCCATAACACATATTTTATTGTTTTAATATACATTTGTTTTATCCTAGAAAAGTAGGTCGGTTGATAAATAAACATTCACTGACCTAGTGTTCGAACTTGCAAATCCGAAATCGGTTCCTCCTAACTCGCTTTAGACAACTGATTAATGCTATTTACCCCCATGCTAAACAGTGTACATTAGGTTAAACAACAAACCTAAGGTCCGAAGGCGAAGTAGTACTGCTGACTGTACAGAGGTGTGACAGCAGTAAGGTGTTTCCTTCAGACAACCAGTATGACGGCGATGCTGCCTTCCCACAAGGAGGGGTGGGGTTAGAAAAGGTCGATCCTAAAAATGCACACCTCGCCTTATCCCACGGATATCCGTCTTCGGCAGTAAAGTCTCAACAAGTACGGAGCTAACAAAAGAATTACCCATAAAAAGGTCTCGCGTGACCGACCTCAAGCAGTTGTCCCTTGGGCACTGCGGTCACGCTCTCAGGTCACTGAGACCACCCCTAATCTAATTTCCTTTTCAGGCACCTCCGGAGGAACCCTTCCACGGTGTGGGCAACCGAAAAGTGGTAACCGCGCTCATACTTCTAACAGCACTCAAGACCACTGTATTCATAATCAACTTCCCTCTTCAATTTCTATTATTCCTCCTACATCGACTTTCACCTCTAAACTTCCTTTTCCGCGTTCCCCCTCAAGTGTCACCATAGCCAACGATTCTAGTGCTCAAAACACTGTCCCTGATCTAGTTAAACCTCGCACCAAACTACACATTGGAGCCTTCAACGTACGCACCCTATGCCAGATCGACCAGCAAGCCTCCTTGGCTAGAACCCTAGAATCTCGTACCATTGATGTATGCTGTGTCTCTGAAACACGCATACAGGATCCCAGTGTGAACATACACTTGACGTCACCTCGGCAAAACGGTAAGCCAACGAGATACACCCTCCGTGTATCTGGTGACCCGATGGCTACTTCTCGTGGACTGGCAGGTGTAGACATAGCACTAAGCATGAGGGTGGAACGAGCACTGTTAGAGTGAATCCTCGTTAACAGTCAACTATGTGCTGTTCGGCTAAACAGCTACGCCAGAACTCGGAAGGATAGGGACACACGTCGTTGCCTTTTTGTCGTTTTTGCCTACGCTCCCACCAACTGCAGCTCGGATGAAGTGAAAGATGAATTTTACAGAAAGCTATCTGGACTTCTTCAAAAAGCTACACGTTCAGACTTAGTACTCGTAGCAGGTGACTTTAATGCCCAGATAGGTAGCTTAAACCAAACAGAAAGGCATTTAGGTGTGCATTTTAGTATTCCAGCTCAGCGAACAGATAATGTTGATCGTCTGTTGCAACTATGCTCAGACAATCGTTTATTTTTAGCAAGCACTAATTTTAAACATAAGGAGAGACATTGTCTAACATGGCGACTCCCTGCATCAAACCAACGATGAACTCAAGTAGACCATGTTGCCATCAGTCTTCGTTGGAGAGGGTCGATCGAAGATTGTCGCCCATTCTGGAGCACGTGCTTTGACTCCGACCATGCTCTAATACGGACATGCATCTGCTTGAACCTTACTGGACGCAGAAAAGTCACACTAAGAAGACCCATTAGAATTGAACTGAGTGACGGGGAAGCCGAAAGCAGATTCCAGGAACAACTGGGTTCACACTTAGGTAGTTCTGAAAACGAGGCTGACTCAGGTATGCTTGGAAAGATATACAAACAGCTGTGGAAACAGCAGTGACATCTGTCAGTGATTTAAACACAGGGTTACAAAGAACCAATCGATTTCCTCAAGGTCTATTGTACTGATGGATTCTCGTAAACTCATCACATCAGGCTCTGAACATGATGAAGAGCGAAAACAAATCAGATCTTGGTTAACCAAAAGTCTAAGGAACGACCGTGAGCAGTGGTAGGCAACGAAAGCAAAAAAAATGGAAAAGGTGGCGGCTGTAGGTAAAACAAGACAGATCTTCAGACTAAAAAAAGAAATTGGAATTATTAAGTCAAGTGTAAGTGAAACTATCTCGGAAAAAGACGACACTCTTATCTGCTCTCAGTCCAGACGTTTAGAACGATGGGTGGAACATTTTAAGTACCACTTCATCTGGTCTTCAGCTACTCTACAACTACCCTTCATTCCCAGACAGTGTGAATGGAACATTGAAGTAGGTCCCCCAACTCTAGCAGAAGTTTGAAAGTCTATAGTTAAACTGGAACGAGTAAGAGCAGCTGGTCCAGATGGATTGGTTCCAGAGGTCTTTAAGGATGGTGGTCCAATTTTAGCGATTAGGTTGACTAATATTTTAGCTAAGATCTAGGAGTTAGACGTTATCTCACCTGACTGGTCACAATCACTTATCGTCCCAATATATAAGATTAGTTTAACTAATACAGTATCTAAAATACTAGCCTCGATAATTATCAGACGCCTAACTAAGAATCGTGAACTGCAAACACGAGAGAATCAAGCTGGCTTCAGACCTGGTCGTGGCTGCATCGACCACATATTCACCATTCATCAGGTTCTAGAACATAGGCCTACTTATCGGCGTTCGACAATCATGGTCTTTCTTGGCTTAAAGGCAGCATTTGACTCCGTAGACCGCGAGATTCTGTGGCAGTGTCTGTCATTGAAAGGCGTAACTCAGAAGTACAAACCTTGTGAAGGCTCTTTACTCGAACACTGCCAGTCGAGTCAGAGCTTATGGCGAACTGTCGTCTGTTTTTGCAACCTCAAGTAGTGTCCGACAAGGCTGTCCACTTTCTCCATTTTTGTTTAACTTCATCATAGACCTACTGACTGACCAGATTACAACCGTAAAGATGATATCTGAAATTACAGAAGACTGTAAATTCCAAGTGTTTAAACCGAATAGTTAATTATGGTAAAAAGAGATGATTAGCCCGGATTTTTATGTAATAGTGCTTTCAGTGTGTTACGATGTCTAACCTTTCATTCTTTATTTAGCCTTGTACTGTTTTTCATTTTATACTGTATATTTATTGACAGTTTAAAACTCATTCGATGATTTTGAGACAATTGACAGTAAATCTAGGTTTCCAGACCATCACTTTCAATGTGAATCTCAATCCTTTAGTAACTTAATAATTTTTAAACCCCAGCCTACTATCTTATAATTTTCTAACTAAAAGATTGTACTATTGTAAGTTATACGCTCGAATTTACACTCATCATTCATCATTATGTAATTCGTTACTAACAACGTATTTTCAATGTTAGTTTTGACTCTTCTCCCTTGTCAAGTGTTTACAGCCTCAACTGATCTAGGTAATATGATTTTACCACGAATTTCATAATTATGTGATATATTAATGCAATACATTCCGAACATTCTGATCACACAATTGTTAAGGTATTTTTAATAGTTGAGATCATAAGTCAATTGAAGCAAGATCTCTATGAAAAACGTGGAAGCACTGGACAGCCTATGGGTCCTGGGTTAGGATTTCGCGAGGTGGGATAGTGGTTGCGCACTGCTGAGGAGTCCCACAATAGGACGAAACGGACATCTAGTGCTTCCAGGTTTTCTATGGTGGTCTAGCTTCAATTGACACATGGTCTCAACTATTAAAATTACTATCATATCCACAAAACCCCTTCTGTTAAGTTATTTGTTTACGAAAAATTAAATGTCTGCTCAGATTGTTCGAAATGTGTTGCGCTGTTATCACAAAGTTTTGGCAAACATTGTTCCCTCATTTGGTTGTCTAGATTTGTGAAATTAACTGCTTTGTATTCAAATGATCTATTAAATTCCATCATTATATTTTCATAATACCTTGATTATTTCAAGTTGCAATATTTTACTGTGGATTGAAAAATAATGAATTGTAAAATACATAATTAATCCTGTAGAGTATTTAAACTAACAGATTTAAAAATTCCTTAAATTTTTATTGTACTGACTGAGTTAAAAACGAATAAGAAATATAAATCATACAAACGCTTTAGACAATACATTAACATAATACTATGAAAATGTTATCCTGATGACATTAAAATAACTCGGTTGTAATATTTGTGACTTAACGGCCATATTGAGGCAGTCTGCACTAGATGCACATGTGCCAAACACAGACTAACCATTTGCGGTCCTAAACATCTATCAAATTAGTAACAATAGACACTTGTGTGAATTGGCAATATAATTTGTCAGTGATAAAATACTAACAATAACCTCTAATTGTATCAAATGATCACTTACTACTTATATAACAATGGTGTGAAAACTACTTTAAAATGGAGCTGTTCCCAGCTTTACGGCCGAGAGTGGGGAGAGTCCGCTCTCTCCCTCGAAATACTCTCACACGGCCACGCGTATACAGCCTCTGCCAGGGAAGTCCTACTCATTGCCTTCTCGTGGCGGGGGTGTTGTTTACGAAAATGAGAGGACGAAAAGCGAATGTCCGGCGCTTTAACCGGATTCCAAATCAATGGTGCACATGGGCTCCAGTATCCTGCGGGAACAAATGGCGTATGAACCAATCGTTGGTCACCGGCTACCATGGGATTGCATCTTCTTACGATGCTCCACTGCCTTGTGGTTTAGACCTTTAGGTCAAAGGCTCGGGGAGTGGCCCCCTAAGATAACCACCTGCTTCGGTTTGGGCACCCGGGCAGTATCACAGCCCGCACACAAATTGATGATCTCTTTATGCCTATGGAAATTACCTTTCTCGCTTTGAAAAACAAACAATTGATTCAGATTATTATCATTACAATTATTGTCATTATTAATACTATTATTATTATTACTATTGTCATTATTATTATTATTATTATTATTATTATTATTATTATTATTATTATTATTACTTTCCACATTATTCACCCTCTTTTATACTTATACAGCGGCTCGTCTTTTGTGGAAATTCGACTATATCTAAACGTTTTCGAGTCACTGTCCGGTTGAAACTTGTATGTTACCACCGAATAAGAGAACTGAAGCAGTTTTTCTGAAACCACGTGCACCATTCAAACTGGCTGCCTTCAACGTTCGCCCACTTATGCAGGTCGGACAACAGATAGGGCTGGCTATGTCTTCGGAAAGTCTTAATATTGATGTTTGTTGTCTATCCGAGACCCGTATTCAAGACTCTAGCGAAGTACTACAAATTCGCTCTACATCTGTCACTTCAAAAAGCTTGTTTTACGTGTGCTTATCCGGGGACCCTGTGGCATCTTCGTCTGGTCTTGCTGGCGTTGGTGTCGCACTAAGCGCTAGAGCTGAGGCAGCACTAGTCGATTGGATCCCCATTAACAGTCGGTTATGTGCTGTTAGATTAGAAAGTTCCATCAAAGTGAGGAGAAATCGGCGTGAGAAACGATGTCTTTTCATCATCTCCGCCTATGCCCCGACAGATTGCAGCCCGGATGCGATCAAGGATGAGTTTTACCACCAGTTATCAGTTCTTCTCCAGAAAGTGCGTTCGACAGATATTGTAGTACTAGCCGGAGACTTGAATGCTCAGGTTGGGCGTCTAGGCACAGAAGAGTATCGTTTAGGTGGCCGATGGGGACTCGTTGGTCGCAGGCCAGATAACGGGGACCGTCTACTGCAACTTTGCACAGACCACAACCTGTTTCTGGCTAGCACTAACTTTCGGCACAGTCATCGCCGATGTGCCACCTGGCGTCCTCCCTCTGCATCTCAAGCCTGGACTCAGATTGATCACATCGCGATCGGCTACCGCTGGCGTGGTTGTGTACAAGACTGCCGCTCCTTTTGGAGTACCTATCTGAACTTTGATCATGCCCTGGTCTGCGCCAATCTTACCTTTTTTTTCAGTGGCCAACGAAGTGACCTCCACCAAAGGATTGATGTTAGCAAGCTGGTTGCAACTTCTGTTGCAAGTAAGTATCGAACCGAGCTAGCCTCTAGGCTAGCTACCACTCCAGCGAAAAGTATAGATGAACATTGGTTGCAATTGCATGACGCCATGAAAATGGCGAGTAAAGTCGGTTGTGGGTTCACGAAACGTCCAGCTTATAAGCACTGGGTTTCTTCAGGCTCCTTACAACTCATTGAAGCCCGTCGTTCTACTCCGGGTGACTGTGAGTTTGACAACAAACGAAGGTTGTTACGTAAGGAAATTGGGCAGGGCTTGCGTAAGGACCGAGAAGCCTGATGGTCGGAGAGTGCTAATGAGTTGGGAGCATCAGCTGCATTTGGTAATCGCCGGAAGCTCTACCAATTCATCCGAGTCACTGGCAGCAAGAAGTCTGGTGTGAGCTAAACAATCTATGAGGATGACGGGATGCTAATCACTAACATCCATCGACGTCTTGGACGATGGGCAGAGTTCTTCGAAGGGCAGTTCAACTGGCCTGCTGCTCCGGCAACATCGGTCAGACTGTCCTGCCCTCCATGGCCGGTAACGACTGATCCACCAAACGATGAGGAAGTCCGCAAGGAACTCCAACTCTTGAAGCGTTACAAATCACCTGGCCCAGATGACTTACCTCCGGCTCTTTTTAAAGATGGAGGTGACTTTTTGACTAAGGAATTGACGACGTTGTTTACAAAGGTTTGGGAACTAGAGAGTGTACCAACGTCATGGAATGAGTCCATAGTTGTCCGTATCTTTAAGAAGGGTTCACGTCGTTCCTGTAACAACTATCGGGGGATAAGTCTACTTCCGATTGCGTCCAAGCTATTGGCTTCCGTCATACTTCGTAGGTTGTTCAAAACCCGAGAAAGATTGACTCGCGAGGAGCAGGCTGGGTTTCGTTCTGGTCGAGGATGTATTGATCATATCTTCACCCTCCGCCAAATGTTAGAACACCGCCATACTTTTCAAAGGCCAACAATCGTAGTGTTTCTTGACATCAGGGCTGCCTTCGATTCGTTGGACAGGGCTGTTCTCTGGGATTGTCTATTGAAGAAGGGTGTGCCTGAGAAGTTTATTAACATCCTAAAAGCCCTATATACAAACACCTCAGGCAGATTGAGGGCATACAACCACCTTTCTCCATTGTTCCATTCGAGCAGTGGGGCTAGGCAGGGTTGCCCAATCTCACCATTCCTCTTCAACTTTGCCATCGATGACATTCTAGAAACAGCTCTGATGAATGTAAGTAATGGTGGTGTGGATCTGTTGCCTGGAGTATGCGAAAGATATTGTCTTACTGTGCGATAATGCCCAAGGCATGCAATCCGCATTTAATCAGTTGGCAATCAGTGTCCGTAGGTATGGTATGTGCTTTGCACCTTCGAAGTGCAAAGTACTTCTACAAGACTGGCAGGATTCCAATCCTGTACTCACCCTGGATGGTGAGCAGATAGACGTAGTCGAGAAGTTCGTGTATCTGGGTAACTGTATAAGTGTTGGTGGGGGTGTGAGTGATGAGATCAATGCACGTATAGTGAAAGCCAGAGCGGCTTATGCCAATCTGGGCCACCTTTGGCGCCGTCGTGATGTTAGTCTGGCTGTAAAAGGTCGGATCTACAACGCGTCGGTGAGAGCAGTTTTGCTCTATGCTTGTGAAACCTGGCCTCTCCGAGTTGAGGACGTTAGACGACTCTCTGTGTTCGATCATCGCTGTCTCCGAAGGATTGCTGACATTCAGTGGCAACACCATGTCAGTAATGCAGAGGTTCGGCATCGTGTGTTCGGGCACAGAGATGATAATTCAATTGGTGTCACCATCTTGAAACACCGACTTCGGTGGCTTGGACATGTTCTCCGAATGTCGTCCCGGAGAATTCCACGTCGTGCATTATTTGCCGACTCTGGGACTGGTTGGAAGAAGCGGATAGGTGGTCAGTGCACGACACGGCGTCGTGGTATGAAAGAAAGCTGCAAAGGACTGGCTTCTGTCGGTCCTTCACGACTCCCTGGTTGGGGTCTGAGAGATGGTGCTACACAGTGGCTAGAGACGTTATCAGATATGGCTCAGAATAGAAGCCAGTGGCGATCCTGCTGTAACCTTCTTTTACTTTCTTCATAAAAAGTGGTTGTGTCTCCTTTACCTGAAAGATTTCTTCTGATTGTACTTTTTCGTTCCGTCGTTACTACCACACTACCTTACACCAATCTCTTCGTTATTGTTCTCTTTTTGTTTTGCGCTCCTTGGCTTTTTTCTCTATTTCTCTTCGAATTCTCATTGTTTTGTGTGGCGCATATATATTGGCGCTCTCTTGTACCAATATTTATGTGTTCAAATATATAAATAAATGTTCCCAGCTTGTTTCAATGGATTCTTTAGTATTGATTAAAATACTTTATTTTTTGCCATTTGAAGGACCTATTAAGCCAGAAAATGTAACAGTGACCAACATCAAACCAAATGAATTCACTATTAAATGGAACGAAATGAAACAAGATTTAACGTTCACTAACATTTGTTATTCACTTTATGTGCGACCAACTTTAAATATTAATGATAATTTTAATCAGTTCAATGTTTGCAATGGGAAAAGCGAATTTACTGTCACTTTCTTATTACCTAGAACAAATTATACGGTATATCTTAAGTCGTTTGATACTAGTTATGGTATATACAGTGATGCAACGAAATCTTTTCTAATCTATACAACATATCCAGCATGTAAGTTTATCAATACTTAGTAGGTTTTCTTAATCCATTTTATAAAATGTAATCAAATTTTTCCTCAGAAAACGTATTCCTTAAACAAAATTAATTTAAGGCATTAGTTCATATTTCAGGTCCATGTTCAAGAAGCGTCTTGTTAATCAGTAATCTTTTTATTAGTAAATTTGTAAACGTTTGGTAATGTTCGACATTTCTTGAATTGATTATGATAAGTCTTCTTTGCCAACATCCAGTGTATTATATCCGAACGAAGAATAAGAGAATGGTAACTGCTAATATCTATTTATGGAATTATATATATATATATATATATATATATATATATATATATATCATTCGTCTGATCAATAAGTCATAAAGATATAATACAGTAGAAATGGGAACCGACACTTTGATAATCTAATCATAGTGGGCTTGCATTAAGAAATAACTTTAATTATAGATCGTAATGATTATAAAGTGCAGCGTATTTTCTCTACAGTCATATTCCATAAAATTATTTTAATTACAGCGAAAATCATGATGAAAATCGCTCTTAAAATGACCAAATACCTTCACAAATCCTTTTCATTAAATAATGGTCATTCGCACACTGATGATTGCATACAAATTACACTTTCTGAAATGCCAGAAAACCACGAACACGTAAGAGCATCTCGAAATGTTGTTGTCACCCTTATTTTTTACTATGGGAATGACTCTAGAACCATCGTAAACGTTTTCATTAGTGTTTTTATGAGCAACGGTAAAAATTTGAGTGATATTCGTTCAGAAGTTATGTATATGACTAGCAACTTCACTTAATTTGTTTCTCTCTTTCTCTTGCTTTAAAACGATGATTTATGTGTTGTAGTTAGTTTTTTGTAATTAACATATCAACATTTCAGGTATTCAACCACCAGTCAATTTAACATTTTCTGAAATTAATATTTATGGATTTACTGTACATTGGGATCATGCATTAGAAGAGCATTCATTCGATAATAACAACTATTATTATGTCTTCATAAAAGCTTTGCACAATCATACAAACAAACCAATGAAATTCAATGCCGGTCAATCAGCCACAAGTTTTCATATTTTTAGTCTTTCACCGGATACATGGTATAGTGTATCTGTACAATGCATAGATACTACATACCATAATAGTATCGAATCAGAAGAGATTTTTGTACATACATATTCCGAGAGTAAGTGATAATACTGACTTATAAATTGAAGCAGTTTTTTATTTTATTGTATACCAAAATATTCTGTCAGACGTCATTAATAATTCAAATAAAGATGAGTATTTTCCCAATAATAAAAGGGATTTGTAGTTGTCAAAGATATATGTGATCCACGTAATTATAGTACCTATGTCTAGCAAAGAAATACATGTCGGTGATTGAAAAAGTACACATAAATTAAAAGTCTAGACAACTTTCAAAAATTGACCTGTCTGAAGGTGTTTTTCACCATAAAATAACATTAATTAAATGATAAGCTAAAATCGAAGACTGGACAGTTGGTCTTTATCTAACTTTGGGATATTTAGATATAAATTCCAGACTCAAAACAAACTTGCTGTTAAGTGTAGTCAACGTGCAAGCATTGAAACAGTTAATTTGGATCTGAAAAGCACAAGTGATAACACTGTTCTGGTCAAGAAGAGACCAACCGTCATCCTCGTGTTAAATCATTTCTACAATTTTCACGCCTTCACTGTAGCGTTTAATCCACTTCAAAATGTTCTACTTATTAGTAGTACTCAACATTTCATAAATTTTCTTCAAAAATTTCGTAGTAATTCGGTTAGCGTATTTACTTGATGTTCTTTAAAGTTTGTTCCTAATGATCTGGTTAGATAAATATCTTGTTCGTGATTTGACGATATTTAAACTTTACACTATTACTTATTCCATTTACCTTTAACTATTTTGTCAAATAAATAGCTGTTGAACGTGACAGTCTTAATCAGCTGACGAGTCTGATCCTACAAGTTCCACCAGAACAACAAACAACTCATATTCAACAAGACAGTATGATTATTTTGTATTTACCTTTATCTCGGTTAAATTGTTTCATTTCAACAGTTTATGTGGTTTCACTTGTAATAAAACCAACTAGGGAAAATCATCATGATGAAATTATTTGTTCTGAAGGTTGTACAAAGAAAATGCACTACAATGACATTACGGATATTTATTTAGTTGAGTCGGTAAGTCGAGTGTGAATTTTAGTTCTTTTATTTATTCATGATATGCAGTACCTTTGTGGCAATGATGAAATTAACATTACTGATCGACAATAAATGAAACCTTATTATGAAATAAGCACAATTCAAGATATTGGATTTCAGATCAAACCTAATATGTTTAATGGGCAGTGCCAATTAGTTATGTCATAATGATTGGATGTTAGTGTTCAGTCATTAAACTCAAATTCGGTGTCATTTGACAGTGATTTTCATCACCAAGTGACATCGGTTTCAGGATCTTTAGAAACACTGAAAGCTCCCTTCGCCATAGTTTAGAACTTATCCATAGACTTTAGCTATATCACATAGCGTAATTTTACTTATCCGTCCAGTTTGAATCTGATTGACTCACACTTCTCGACTTCAAGCTATTTGTGATATTCCCATCCAATACTTTCTGAAGTAATGTTTCACTCCTGAAACCCGTGAGGAGGCTTGAAGTAGTGCCTCTGCAGGTGGTGATGCTGTTCCAGCCACTTAAAGTTGGTAGAGCCTATTCTGGGGAAGTCGGTGTGGCTTTTCTGCTATTAGCTTCTGTGTTTCAAGGCTCACAAACTCACTGTGTGGATGTGATTGCGTGGGGAAATCGATACCACTTGGCTTGTTACGCGGGCGTAGTATCGTGACCAAGTATAGTTTACAGACATACCGATAACACAAGTTTTCACTCACACATCCCATATGGGTTTATTTATTCACCTGGGGAATAGATGGTCACAGCTCTCTTCAAACGTATTTGCTACTGATTGTTTCTTACGCGCTACATGCGTATAATCGACACAAAGGCTTTCATCCTCGCACTTCATGACAAACATATAAGCATGAGCACTCTCTTGGTAGGTTGGTAGTCACCTGTCCCTAGTATCTGCTCCCGTATATTTTTATGATGTCTTCTACTTGTTATGTTAGGTTGCTGATTGTATTAGGCATAGGGCATATAATTTTACAGCTTATGTTCCTTGTGCTAACCCTCACACATGCCTGTGGTATATACCTACATACACAAATTACACAATCTCAGACTCATGCAATTCATATACATAATCATACACCTCAAGAGGCCCGCCAAATTTAGTCGACCTCAAAATTGGGACTGAAACAGTCCAGTTTACAACAGAGTGGTATATTAGTCCAATGTCCACCGACTGTCCATATTAGCGGTCAAAGATGCCCTCACTACCCCGCAGCGCTACTTGGTGGCTTTGAGTCAGGTTTCGCTACTGTTTCTGAAGGGTACTTTACTAAAGTAATTTCGATGCCCCGTGTTCCTTTTCAAAGGTTTTCTAACAACTATTAGTTTGTTATGAAAATCATCGTCAAAGTAAAAAATTCTCTACAAACGTATTTAACATAATACCTAATTTTCATAATATTTTGGTTAACTAAGGATCAGTGAATGTTGATTTTAATGATAGACGCTATCCTACCACTGACATAATTCTCTGTTTAATTGAGTGAAATTCAAATGACGCATTTTAATATATATATTCTTAAAAGAATCACAGAACTCATGGCGATTTACAAACATGACCATTTTCATATAAATAACAATGCTAAAAATAAAGAATCGATATATTATGTCAGATTGTTTAAAGTGTCCTAGTTCAGAAATTGTTTAGGTAGTACATTTTCCTTGTGGATTACAACTATACTGGCCAACAGTCAAGGATCATTCATTCTTTTCGAGTAGACGTCCTGTTGAAGAATGTACAATGTACTTATGGTCATTTTTAGTGTCATTACGAAGTAGTTATAATCTACAACTAGATAAAATAAAACGGAAACAGAAAGCAGAGGAAAACGATAGTAATAATCACTGTAATAGATCTGCCGTTAGACATGTGCTGGAGCGTTATATGATATAACGATTTGGTTAGATTTTATATAAATTAGTTGAGTTTATCAGGTACGGTGTGCTTATTATTTATTTATTTAAACCCATAAACATTTGTACAAGGAGGCAACAAATATATATGCGCCGCACTTCATCATTCGATTCGTGTGAGGGTGTATCAATATCAAAGCAATTAAAGATACCGTTTGCTGTTTTTATAAAAAATTATTCGGCGCACTTGACGGATCTTGTAAAGTTCTTCTTGTTTACTCAAATAACTACAAACACTTCGATTTCGCATTTTGCGATTCATTTCTGTGCTTTGTACTGTTCAAATAATATTTACTGGATAATTGGTTGATCACGGGCCATTAAAAAATAGTTTATTTATATCTTGATTAGTTTGGGTGGTCTTTTGAATACGTTTACTACGAGAACTATGTTGACTCGGAGTGATTGTAAAGATTTGAATTCTGTATACTAAGTCTCCGTTCCGTTTGTAATTTATGAAAAAAGCGTATTTTTAGTTTGAGATTGTTGTAGATAACCGTCAAGAAACCAGAGGTTAAAGTTTCTTGCTAGTGGTACCGGTTATGTTGTGGTAATGAAAGCTTTACGCTCATCACAAACTGTACACATGTTTGATAAGCGTTCTTGATGTTTTTGGAAATGAGTTAATAATAATAACAACCGTTACATTTACCTATCTGAGCCAAATATTTGGTTTGATAGAATTGGAAAAATATGTGATTCTACATGAGATATGAATAGAAAAAACAGATCTCATTCCTAATCAGTTTTTATTGGAGCTTTATAGCATGTTACTAAGTATTTTGACAGCCTACAGACACTATTTTATCATAATGTATGATAATTCATTGGTAAATCACTAATGACGCCTAATCCCACATCAACTTTCAATCAAAAATGATTTTAAAATTTAGTTGAAGTGTTTATTCATTGTTAAGGAAGTTTTAATTGATGCATTGTTTGTATTCAACCGCTCAATAAAAAAGACATACAAAAATCGCCATAATAAAGAAAATGGATCATGGGAAGTACTTATACATTCACGGTTGGAATTAAGTCAGACGCGTACACGACGTTCAATGGCTTACCGAATGAATGAAAGTTATCTATATTCCGATGAATATTTCATAATCGGTGAAAATGGTGTATGTCCATATAATTCGCATGATTGCAATGGACCACTTAAACCCGCTACACAGTACAGGTTAGTTTATTCTTTTATTGTTGAAAATGTTACATGACACTACTATGAATCAGTCATTAGCGAAAATGCATACTCTACAAGTCACCGTCTGGTGTTTCTATGTTATCGTGGTACTTAATGAAATCGTTAGAAATAAGCAGTAATTTCAATCTACTGATTGAAACTTCAATTTTTGCAGTAGAAACACTTGTTAAAACCCATTATATGGCAAATCACTGTACCAGCTAGTGGAGAGATAGTATTATCAGGGAGATGATTTCTTGGTGAATAACAACTGAGATCCCATTTTTGTGTAGAAATTTTTCGTTTCTAAAACCTACTAACAGATTAAGGTTGAACTGCATTACTTCTAGTAACCCAACTTATTATCGATTTGCTATCTGAAACACAACTTCATCATTGATTTAATACTCAGAGTAATGACGAAATTAACGGATGGCCGTCTGTAACCCCAATAAATCTACAATACCACGACAATTCCTCATACTGTGAAGCAACTGCTTACTAATTTACACGGAGTCGTGTATGAGTGATTTTCGGTTTCAGTCAGAAGCAATAGCATTTAGTTAAACAAATTTCAGATTTAATAAGACCCGAAGATGCGTAATTTACCCAAAAGGTCTGCCCTTCAGAATGCAAACTGGTAATGAGGACACACTAAATATCAAATTTATGTTATAACGGCGGTGTCCGAAATCTGATACTAATACACGATGTACTATGTGCTAAACCCTCAACTGATTGCATGAACGAGAAAGAATATTGGGCTACCGAATAAATTGCATAAATACTCATTTACATATATACAACCCTACCCCTTGGAAAATCAGTCCCTTTTTTCTAACCAATGATGCACTTGTAGGTGTCATTACCAAGGTTTGATTTGATAATTTCGAATAAATTGAGCATTGGGTTGATTGTTATAAATAAAAATAATATATTTGTAATATCCCAATGAGTAGAAAATAGGATTTTCTGACGTTTCGTGACTTAGTGTAAGTCACTTCTTCAGAGAATAAATAACCAAATTAAATTAATCCAAGTTTAAATAGTACAACGGAACAATGCAAGAATAATATTTGATCAATCAAAAATCAGGTCTGAACAAGTTGATGTCATGTCATTTCTGTCAAGGTGATTCATAAGTGATAGGTATGTAAATTTGTGTGTATGTATATGTGCATTGTTTAAGAATGAAAACTTGTGTGACCTTTATGGTAAGAAAGGATAGGGTTTAAATTTGTAATATGATAGTGTGAAATTGTGAATACGATCAGACTGAATGGTTAGGATAGATGGTCCAAGTAGGATGTATGGTAAGGTCTTCTTTTCTATTGAGAGAAGTAGGATTAAGCATTATATGGAACGCCTCGGCTACCCTCCTTTCTTTGTAGTCAGAAAAGCCTTTTTGCAATATTTTGATATTTTTAAAATCGATTTGGTGGTTGTTGAAAATGGCATGAACTGCTATTGCCGATTTAATTTGAAGTTGGTTCAATTCTACCGGATTGTTAGGAGGTTTCTTTGTGTACTTACACTAAGCCACGAAACGTCAGAAAAATCCAATTTTCTACTCATTGGGATATTACAAATATATTATTTTTATTTAAAATGATGCACTTGTCTATCAGGTCATTTCTGACTGCCATCGTATGACCTCATTGAGCTACTTCTGATTGGCTGACCATACCACCTCTCCGTCCTGGAAAATTAGTCCTGCTTTTTGAATTTTGCTGAAGGTGTTGATGGCAACGTCGTTTTCTTGGTGATCTGCTTGAGGTCTGGCCATCAATTCTTCCGCGCTGATCCTGATGCTCCAAACTGACTGTATCAGTTAAATAATCTAGTGGCAAAATGGAACTAGGGGATTTTTTTATCCGAATTTAGTCATCTATCGCGGATGTGGTTAACGTGTTGCGCCTGGCATTTACCTTGAACATCAGTTTTGTACAACACATTACCGACTTTTCTAACGATGACACTCGCTACTCACGCAGGCTCCCGTTATCAAAAGTTCCTCAAATACACTGGTAACCCATCATGACCAATTCTCTTCGCCTTAGGTTTATAATCTCGTCTTTTTTGTGGATACATGCTATCAAATGAAGTCCAGATCTTGCTTCCGAACATCAACTCACTAAGGGAGGCAACATTGGGGGAGACTGGATTCGGGGTTATTCTGTATACTCTCAGGAAATTCTGGATGACCTTCTCCGTCGTGCCCTTCCCTTGTGACATGATGAGATCTCACTTGAAGGCATCGTCAAAACGCTCAGCTTGGCCGTCTGGCTGAGGAAAGTAGGGCGATGACAGAATGTGTGTACTTGCGTTCTTTATTCAGAAGTTCGATAAGATTTCCGACGTGATCCGAGATTCATTGTTTGTAACCAGTGTCTCTGGTGAACCATATTGCCCGATGAGTCTATTCAGCGTCTTTATGGTTGAAGTTGATGAGGTCTCAGGCATCAAATAAATCACTGGTCATTTTGTAAATGAGTCGATGACAATATGAAGGCGTTGATCGTTTATTGACCCAATAAAATCAGCATAAACACAGAACCATGGGAATCCTGCACTTAGCCATAGAAATGGCTATATTTTCGGTGACAGTTTTGCGGCTTGTGCTCATCGTGGACATTTCTTTACGATTCCTTGAATGTCCTTATCCATCAGTGGTCAATATACGTGCTAATGACGTCACACACTGAACCTGAGTGGTGCTATTTCAGTACTCGGGATCTGAGTGTGGTTTGAATCATTAGATGTTCCTCAGACAATAGACACTAATTGGTAACAGTCAACGCGCCACTTCATCAGAAATACTCTATTAAAGCATCATCTCATGCACATAGTTCTCTTTATCATTTTGAAGAGAGCAAGAACAAAGATCCAAACAGAATAACATGAATTCATTTTGTTTCATCTGGTCTTCGTCAGCTCCTTACACCTATGATATTTAAAAATACTACAAAATGGGTTTAAACTACTTATATGAAAGAGTTTAGTTGAAAGTTATGTTGAAGACATATCAGTATTGCATATCAAGGGTGTAAATAAATTCAATAGACCAAATATTGTAAATATATACGTTATGTAAAAGAACATTCTACAACATTGATTATAATAAGAATTCAAACGGCCAGAAACAAGTGATCACGTAATGAGTAAATGCTGACAAGAATGAGTAAAGATCAGTTAATAAAATAAGGTTGCTAATCTGGAAGACATTCAAAATAAAAACTCAATGATGCAATAAATTCAAGAAAGGTGTTACGTCCTTGATCTGTCTACCAATTTTGTTCAGAGGATAACTTGTCTAATCTAGATTAAGACCTTGACGCGATAGGTTGACTGGCTTAAACCTGAGGCTAGTTTGCGTGAGTTCGAAATGGGTGAGAGAGACGAAAACTATTCTATCCCCTGATTGATTGGCTGACAAGCACGCGAGTGAGAGAAGACAAGTCAACTGGAACACTACTCAATTTATTCTCGATTTCTATCTGGTTCCCAATTTCAGATCGGTGTAAAAAGAGGACATGAATAAATAGATGGCCAACCCGACCACAACGTACAATAATTAGGAAAATACAACCATGTCCAAAACTGGGGATTAGCGTAGAAAAATTGAGTACAAAATAATACATCTAAATTACAATAGCTTTAGAATAAAAAGGACTATGGCAGTGAATCATACATCAAACGAAAGTTTATGATTTGTAGAATAGACTAGAAACAAAAATGTTATTGTTTTACAAACTTTAAATTACATGGAATAACGTCCCGAAAAATAGCTTCCGTAGTTTGTCAAGGCTTCTTGTTTCTCTGTTCACATCAATAGGGTTTTTTAAAAGTATTTTAAGATGCAACAAAGGAATATTTGTTACTAAGACAAGGGAAACGTAATAAAGTAATTGATACCTGATAGCAACTACTTTTTATAAAGTAGAAGGGATATGTACCATCGACAAATCGGAAGAATAATTGATGAACGTTGTAAAATGCCTAGGAAGTAACTGCTACCCATAGAAATTTATTGACAAATGTAAAGAACTGTTATATATGAATCTCAACTTCAAATGTAATGACGTCACAAGCACAATCAGCAGGATGTTTAACACTGCATTAACCAAAACTTACCCGGCAGCCAAACTACGTATTTTTTATAAAACAATATGTTGAGTAACCCAGACAAATATCAACAAGCATACCCTTCATATTACCGCCAATCGTGTTTCTAAATTTACGTCCACCTGCCAAGGCAGCTACATTGGCTGAACAGAAAGAAGGGAATATCTTAGATCTTTTGAGTATGTTCCAAAAAGCCTTAGAAGGAGAGAAAGAAATTAAATAAAACCAGAACAAACAGGGATTCATAATAATATGAATTCACTATATGTCATGGTTTCTCATCAGCTGCTTACAACCATATATGTACTGAAAGCTTACAATGAGGTCAGATATAGTGCGAAACAATTGACATAGATGAATAAAAAGAATTGGAATGACAATGGTTATCAATAATAACTATATATTTATGTTCAGGAACAGGTCGGTCATTTGGTATTGGAATCGAAAAACATGGGGGGCGGGTGATGCTCTAATTAAGTAAGGTTCAGAGACAACATTAATTGTGTGATAATTTGAGGTAATGAAGGGTTTACATAAGATTCCTGTAATTAGAAAGATTAGTAAAGTGGGTTACGTAACAATTAATAGGATTTAAGGAGAGTACATAATTGAAGTGAATTGAGTAAATAAAGATGTATTAGCGAAGAGGTAGTTTTAATGTACATAAAACAAGAATTCGGTAAGTGAAGACCATATAACAAAATAAACACTAACAAAATAATGATAATGATGGAAATGATTTACCAGGGTAGTACATACATAAATCAGGTCTAAGTTTTTTTTTATCGCAATTGCTTCAGCAAAACGAAGAGACGCTGTGCTTCTTTGTCTGCTCATAATTTTGAAGAATTGAGGAATATCAATGGTATGTC